GGATAAAATGGCACGGGATGAAGGCGTTGAATGGTCGCATTTATTTACGGGGTTCAGTGTCGGATGCTCGTGCTTTCACTCTGGCTTCTCTGCGAAGACTCTGTGGGAGAGACACTCCTGGGCGCTGGGTCTTTTCTGATGGTCAAACGTGAGCATTCTCTGCAGGAGGTCGATGAGCCGCCTTCTCTCGGGGGATCCCACAGGAAGGCGTCCGTCCATCGTGTGCAGTGAGTGCCAGGTCTCTTCCTGTGGGAATCCTGCGTATATTTTGTCCAAGTGCTTCTTCGAGTACGTGAGCGAGTACTTTTTCAGGTAATTTTTCAGGTTTTGTGCCCCTGAAAAGTGGACTATCCGCTCGAGTTGGTCCTCGTTCGTGCTCCCGTTGAAGAAGGGCATCTGCGTGAAGAGCATTTCCCCGAGTATGCATCCTGCAGACCAAATATCCAGCGAGTAGTCGTAGTACCTGTTCCCCAGGAGGAGTTCTGGGGCCTTAAAGTGCAGGCTTGCAACTCTAGTCGCGTACTCCACGGAGGGAAGGTAGTACTCTGCAAGTCCCCAGTCTATCACGCTCATTTCCCTTCGCCCGTGGTTTATGATGATATTGTGCGGCTTCAAGTCCCGATGGAATATCCCGAGGGAGTGAATTTCGTCCAAAGTCTCCAAAAGTTTTCTCATGTAGAAGACTATGTCCTCGTAGGAAAAGAGCTTGAAAAGGGAGCGAGTCTCCGTGTGGTCGTTATACGGGAAAATGAGGGCTCTGTAGTTTGCCTCTGAGTCCTTAACTACGTCTAGCAGCTGTATTACGTTTTTCACTCCGAGGAGGGACTTGAGGATCTTCACTTCTCTGTTGATCTTCTTCTCCCGTATGGGGCGCAGCACTTTTATTACGCAGGAAGTGCGCGTGGGCTTTGCAAGGCCTTTGAAGACTTGGGAGTATTTTCCCCTCCCTAGAAACTCGCTTATTTCGTAGTTATCTATCTCTCCGTACGATATTATGTAGTCGTTGTAGTCGTAGTATGCTTTGCCTCTTTTGAGGGCGCTTGTTGCGTAGACTCTTGCTGAGCTCTCGGGCATATAAAAAATTAAAATGCAACTATAAATAGTCGGAGGGTCTTAAAGTGTAAGGACAGAGAGCATGCAAGCATGTTTCCGCCCTGCAGGAAATGGGGAAGACCCACTGAATAGACTCTACACTCGATCAAAGCAATTGCCTCGAGAAGTATTTAAATTTTTCACTTTCATTTTTATATTCCCCACAGGAAGCCCGGGTTTACATCGTGACTTCTAGCGTAATCATCTAGTGATAAAAACGTATTTATACTGAATTTATACAGAAATATACAGGTTTCTGCCTAGTACTCGCATATTCTATCGTGTACTTCTAGCCTAGTATTAGCAGTAACATCTACTTGTCTATACTAGCATATTCTCTCATGTGTTTATAACTATCTTAATATTATACTTCTAACTAAACTCAACTCAATATTATACTATCCTATCCTATTATATACTTTTAACTATACTATCCTATACTTCTAACTAAACTGTCTTATACTATCCTATACTATTATATACTTCTAACTAAACTCAGCACCACATTACATTATCCTATACTTCTAACTCAACTCAATATTACATTATTCTATACTTCTAACTCAACTCAATATTACATTATTCTATACTTCTAACTAAACTCAGCACTACATTACATTACATTATACTATTATATACTTCTAACTAAACTATACTTCTAACTAAACTGTCTTAATATTATACTATACTTCTAACTATTCTATACTATTATATACTTGTAACTCGACTCAGCACTACACTATTCCGTCTTTCCTGCAGCCCTGCACTGGGTTCTCAAAATGACGAGATTTCATCGGGGGAAAGACCTAAAAACTCTCCTTCAAAGATAAAAATATAAAAGTCTCACTTTTTCTTCTTCCCTGAACGGGTATTTATTTGCCCTAGCAGAACTTCCAGTTGTTCTTACAAACTACGCAGTGAACGTACGTGGTCATAGGCTCATCAGCACTTCTTGTTTGCAGCTGTCTATACGTGCACTTTCTTTGCTTGCAGCGAGTGCAGAAGAATATGTCAGTTTCAGCCTCCTGTTGGGCGACTGTCGAGTCCAGAAGGGCTCTCTGGAATATTTTTGCATCTAACTCCTTCAATTCCTTGCTCTTCATCTCCTCGCTGGACATTGCTATGAACCTGGAGGCATCAATAACCCCATTGTACACGGACGTACAGAGCCACTTATTCGCTGAGTCCTTCAGGTTTAGATACTTGCTTCTGAAGAGAGTCCCATACTCTGGCTTTGTTTTTGCAGTTTTAAATACTTCCTCCTCTAGAAGTTCCCCGAGGGAGTTTGCCCTCTCACTGTCTGTTTCCTCCAGCTGCTGCGAGAATACCTTCGCAAACTCTCCCCTGCATCTTCTTCGCGTTTCTTCACAGTCCATGAAATATTTTCACACCGCAAGAAATAAAACCCCGAGAGAGGGAATACTCATCGAGGCATCACAAAGTATCACTGCAAAGACTCAGTATATCGTACTGCATGGTCTTATTGCATGAACCATCGTATACTATTACTACATAGCCTTACATAGAGTATTTCTACATAGTATTATATAGAGTAATACGTATTATCCATAGTAGAGTATTACTCCTGCAAAGCACTATCTATATACTATTACAGTACACTATTCCTGCAAAGTATTATTATAAGGTGTTATACAGAGTATTTCTACATGTTATTCCTGCAAAGTATTACTATCACAGTACAATATTCCTGCAAAGTATTACTATAAGGTGCTATATAGAGTATTTCTACAAGTTATTTCTATACAGTAATGCGTATATCATCCGTATACTATTGTTTCTACAATCCGTTACTATAAGGTGTTATATAGAGTATTTCTACAAGTTACTTCTATACAGTATTACTATACAGTATTATATAGAGTATTTCTGCAATTCACTATTACAGCATGCTTTCTGCAACTATTATCTGTACCTACTCCTTTATTATATAGAGCATTAATCACATGGCAAGACGTCTCTCAAACTGATTTATTTATTCTTTAGATGGCCTGCTTCTTGAATATCCAGTGGCTTGGGTTGTTTGCATATGCGCCCTTGAAAAGCCTCTCCGCCTCTCGGAGCATCTCTACTTTCTCGGACATGTCCGTAACATCGACTATCTCGAGCTTATCAAAGACGTTCTCCATCGTGTACTTCGTGGCCATGATGTGTCTCACGTTCATTCTCTTCACGAAGCACTTCATGGACTCCCTGCGGTTCTTCTGTCTCTCCGTCATATTTTCAGTGACTGGGCGAGGTGCCTTGGATATTCCCACGACAGTAACATACTCGTATTTATCGCCCTTTTTGAGATCGTCCAAAATGACTCCTTTACATCCCGCGTATCTTCCCTTAGAGAGCAAAACTACCTTTTCTTTTTCCAGCAACATGGGGGTAAAATAAAAATAAAAATAAAAATGTGTGCGAAAATATTTACATGCAGATAAACGTAAGAACTCCCCCGAAGATGCAGACAGTTTTAGACGCAGAAACTGACTCTGGAGTATACCTAGAAGATTGGTGCGAGATAGAGAGAACTTTGCAGGGAGTCCTAAACACAGCCCATTTACACGATTTCTCTCCGAAAAGCATCAGCACTGTCGTCCGCGGGATTCTCTCGCCAGATCCCAGAGAAAGACAGTTATATCACGAGATAGGAGTATGTCTCCTGGAGAGGCATCTCATAGATAGAAGCTACCTCGTAAATGCAGTGACTGAGTACCTTCTCGGGGAGATTCCCCACTACGGGATAGACATAATTCTCTCCCTCCTGAACAAGCTCGGGGATATTCCCAGGGAGGAAATAAGCGAGTTATACGTCCCACTTCTGACAAGGCCATTAAACATACGGATACGCAGGGAGATCATATACGGGATAACGATGGGATATCCGTACAGTGCGCTGGACTTTCTCTTTGAGTGTTTGCTCCGGGACTGCAAGAAGTTCGACTCCTTCAACAGCTTCGTAGCAGTTGTTATCGTGGAAGAGTGTATTTGCGAGATGGAAAGTGTCTCAAAAGAGGCCTGTGCGATGGCTGCTGGGATATTAGCCTTTCTCTTGGAGAAGGAGCTGCACCAGGTCATAAAGAAGGTAGCAGAGGCCTTTGAGAAGTGCGAGTTCACGTATAAACTCTCAAAGAACAGTCAGGACGTGGTTGAAGGGTTATTTGATACGGTGTACAGGCTGTCACAGACGTATTGGAAGAAAACTGAGCAATTTCTGGTCTGTCAGATCCTGCAGAGTCTCTTCCGGTTGAACTCCGCAGTCTTTGACGAGTCCCTGCAGAAGTACAACGAGAAAGTGCAGGGACAAAACAAGTGCAAGTAGAGATAGTGCAGTTCTGTGTAATAAAGTGTGCTGCAGTTTCATTTCAGGTTATTTCAGGTTCTTCCACGGGCATCCACTTGGAAAGTTTTATGCTGTCCATAAAGTTGTCGCACTTTATGCGGTGCATAAAAAGTTGTGGTGTTTCTCAGGGACTTATTGTGCACTGTCCAGAAACTTATAGCACTTGTTATGCGGTGCATAAAAAGTTGTGGTGCTTTTCTCTTGTTTTTATACCATGCACAAAAAGTTGCGGTTCTTTTCCCACAGTGTGCAGCAAGTCCGTGCGGGAAAATAAATTCGGATTTTATTTCATTTTTTATGAGAGAAGTCCCCCTGGGAAGAGAAGAAGAGTCAGCGGCAATATACAAGCTCCTAAAAGAGTCGATAGAGGAGAAAGAGTACGGAGTCTTGTACGTAAGCGGAATGCCAGGATGCGGGAAAACACTCACATGCACAAACGTCATAAACACGATAAAAAGAGACTATCCCAACGTAAAAACAATCACCGTAAACTGCGGATCCCTGATCCTCCCCTCCGAAGTCTTTGCAAGCATCTCCCAGGAGATCAACCCAACGGTAAAACACTCTTCCCCAAGAATCCTGGAGGAAGTCCTAAAGGGAGAAGAATACACAGTAATCCTCGCAGACGAAGTAGACATGCTCATAACAAAGAACCAGCACATCCTATACGCCCTCCTGGAGATCCCTTCAATGTGCAAAAACGTCTATATTATCTCGATATCAAACACCTTCAACCTGCCCGATAAAAGGCTCACAAGCAAAGTCAGAAGTCGCTTGGGATGGAACCGCCTGAACTTCACCCTCTACAAAAAGAGCCAGGTCGTGGAAATCCTGCAGGAGGCAAACAAAGAGTGCGAATTCACGCCAGAAGCACTCGAGTACTGCGCCCATAAGATATGCACCTTAAACGGAGACATCAGAAAGGCCCTGCAGATACAGAAGCACGCAGTAAATCACGCAGTGAAGAACGGACTCAGCAAAATATGCATGGAGGACATGGATAAAGCCATAAAGTACGTATATCACTCGATGCAAAGCAGCTTTATCAGGTCACTCTCTGAATACCAGAAAAGCATCCTTATGACAGTTGCAAAGAAGGGGCACTCTTTCCCGGATAGTCTGTACGTGGACTTCCGAGCAGAGCTGCAGCTGAAGAAGAGACCAGTTCCGACCTTCAAGGAGTTCCAGTTTGTCCTCGAGAAAATGACGGAGATAGGCGTCCTAAAGGGCAGGAGTAATAGCCTGGCAGTGGAGACGGAGTATATCCCAGATGAGCTGGACGTAATATTCCAGGAGGAGGAAAATGACGATTTAGAGATCATCACTATCACGTGATACGTGTACATAGGGAGAGCTGCGGAGTCCAGAGAAAAAGACCTGCCTTCGGGTTGTTCGGGGTTTCTCGGAGTGTTCGGGGAGATCCTGCACAGCCGCACTCTCAAGACTATCAAGAATATCAAGACTATCAAGACTCTCAAGAAATCTTTAGAAGAAAACTTAAGACTCTCAAGAACTATCAAGAACTCTTCAGGAGAATTATTCAGAGGAAAACTCAAGAACTCTGCAGAAGAACTCTTCAGACTATCAAGAAATCTTCAGAAGAACTAACTATCAAGAACTCTGCAGGAGAACTCATCAGAAGAACTCTCAAGAACTATCAGGAACTCTGCAGGAGAAAACTCAAGAACTATCAAGAACTCTTCAGGAGAAATCTTCAAGAACTCTGCAGAAGAACTCTTAGGAACTCTTCAGAAGAAAACCCAAGAACTATCAAGACTCTTAGGAACTCTTCAGGAGAACTCTGCAGGAGGGAAAAGCATAGAATTCAGACTCTTCAGATCCTTCAGAGTCCGGGTAATTAAAGCACTATTTATATTGAATAATTTATTTCTTTATTTATGGACAGCAAGACAGAAGAGATCCACGTAATACTAGATAACTTGAACAACTCAGACCCAGGAATAGCACACTCCGCACTGAGCATGCTCGTGCAAAAGTTGAGGACTTCCACGTCAGTCGCTTCCTCCATACCAAAGATACTGATATACTTGGTCTCCCAGAAGGAAACCCTCCAGGAGAAGCTGAATACCTTCCAGGGAGAGAACAGAAGGCTCATGGCAGATATTATATCAGTTATATCTGCAACCCTGCAAAATACAGACAGTTTAAAGTACAGGATCCAGGGAGGAGCTACATCCATGGACATTTGGGGGCACCAGTACGCGAAGAAGATCTCAAGCGACATAATCCGCCTGATAAGAGCGTCTAATATGGCAGTTCACAGTGCCCCAGCAGGACACGCTGAAAGTAGCACGCTTTCTTCTCTCATGGAGCAGGAGAGCACAGAAAAGCACTCCCCGGAGAGACGAGAAGAAGATGCCCGAGAGGAGGCCTTGGAAATGTCCGGGGAGATCGAGGAGGGTTTGGAGAAGGCCATTTCCGAGACGGTGGAGTGCCTCTTCAAGTTCAACTGCGAGTGCGACTGCGTGGACTTTTTGCTGGAGATCGACAGGATAGAGATGATCCTGGACTTTGTCGACTCGGAGAACCGCGACAGAATTGTGAAGTACTTCTCCTCCCTCGCATACTTCGTGAAAAACGAGAAAACAGTCGAGACGTACTTGGCGATCCTGCGGGGGGGAAGAGTCGAGGAGTACGGGAGGCTGATGGTTGAGGAGGGAAGAACGGAGGAGCTTCTTCGGGAGGTCCTGGAGATGCCTGCGAGCGACCAGACGAAGATTCTGTACCTCCTGGGGAAGCACGAAGCCTGGAATTCCGTTGAAAAAACCGTTTGGGATCGATTCGTGCAGGATATTGGGAGAAAGCCCGGGCTGAAGGTAGACCCTGCGGAGGTATCGAGCAATGCGTACATGGCAGCCCTGAATAAGTACGTGGGAAAGAGGCTGGAGCTAGATAAGACAATCTCTGAAGACTTCGGGTCTTTCTCTGACGCCCTCTCAAAGGCTTCCTTCTCGGAGGAAACACTCGCAGAACCTGAAAATAAGAAAACGTACAAAATAACGTCCCAGTGCTCGAAAGGTCTTCTCTTCTTGTGGGACGAAAAGAAGGCGCTGAACGACCTGGAGGAACACATTTTCTCGGAGGACGGATACTTGAAGGTCTCCAGCATACTCGCCCTTGCAACAGCCACATGCAAAGTCTACGACTACAACGACACAGTCCTCGCAGCAGTTGGAGAGGGACTCGATACAAAGTCCACAACGCAGAAAATAGTCCTTCTCGTAAGCCTTATTATGAAGTACGCAGGCTCTAAGAGGCCAGAAATATACGAAATGATACAGCCCCTCCTATACGATGAAACCATGGAAGTATCTCTCTTCGCAGTTTTCGCAGTAGGAAATATCTTCAGTGGAAGCTGTAACGTAGAGGCATATACTGAGCTCCTGAACGTCCTTGCAAGTAAAATATCAGGAGAGAATATCCCGGAGGGAGCAGCAGCAGTCGTTAAGTTTGCCCTCTTGGGAGTAGCCCTTATCTTCCTCGGGGGACAGCAGAAGGTAGATGAACTTCTAGAGTCCTGCGAAATACTCGACGCACACGGACCCGCTCTCTCCATCCTCCTCAGAAGCATCGGATACATCGGGAGCGGAAATACGAAGATTCTCCACGGGATACTCAAGGACTCCCTCGACGATCAGAGCACAGCAGAGTCCGACTGCAGGCAGGTCTTTTGCATCCTCGGAATTGCTCTCGTCTCTCTTGGGGATGAGACTCTCGTGCAAATGGCAGCTCACGTTCTCGAGGGGGCAATGCTCCTAGACAGTCAGAAGGTGCAGATGGCAATTCCCCTCGCGTACAGTATATTGTACCTATCCACGGGAAAGACGGAGGTTATTGACGCCCTGAAAAGGTGCACGCACAGCACAGAACCTGCAGTCGTTATTTCAGCAGTTGTTTCTCTCGGCCTGGTATCCGCAGGGAGTAATAACTCGAGAGTGAAATCAGCTCTTGATGAACTCAGCACTTTCTGTGGGAAGGGCGCTGCTGGGAGTGCACTGAAGATCGCACAGGGCCTTCTCAGACTCGGAAAGTGCATGCATAAACTCTCCTTCTACAATGAGGGAGTCCTCTCAGGGAAGGCTGTGGGTGGACTCTTGGGGTTTATGCTGGGAGTTTTGGACGGAGGAGCAGGAGTCTTGGATAGGTACTACTTCGTGCTGATGCTGATTTCTGCGAGTATTACGCCGAAGTATCTTGTCGTTCTCAGTGAAAGGGGGAAGCCTGTGGAGTGCAGTGTCCGCGTGGGGAGCAGAATTGAGACGGCAGGAGTCTCTGGGAAGCCTAAGAAGATATCTGGAGTTCAGGTGCACGCATCCCCTGTGATACTGCAGGCAACAGAGGGAGCAGAAGTCCTGGGAGATGCAGTTACATATCACACGGACGGAGGAGTAGTCGTTGTCCAGGAGCCAGAGAAGCCCGAGGAGTCGGAGCAGGAATAAAAAGATGCACAGAAAGAGGATTTTTGAGGTTCAGATTTTATTTGCTTTTTCCTGAGAGAAAATATTTGGATTTATTCTTTAATTTTCTATGCGTATATCTGTCTCCAGAAGGAAATGGCGTTTTTTGGGCTCTTTGAAAAATTTGCAGAAATAAGAAATAAAAAGAATTTGCAGAAATAAGGATATTATGCTGGAATAGCTGCGAATAGGAAATTATTCAGTAAATCGAACTAGTAAAAAAATAAGAAATAAAAAGAAAATCCCTCACTCTGCCTGTCCACTTCTGAGCTTCTACTGTAGGGAAGTGCTGAATACTCTGAATACTCTCTGAATACTCTCTAACTGGTTTCTGAATACTCTCTAAACATTTCCCAGTCACTACTCTTTGAACACTCTCTGAACACTCTTTGAATACTCTCTAAACATTTCCCAGACAGTTTCCAAGGCACTATTTGAACATTTCCAAGACACTTTCCAAGACACTTTCTGAATACTCTCTGAACACTTTCCAAGACACTCTCTAACCAGTTTCTGAACACTTTCCAAGACACTATTTGAACATTTCCAAGACACTTTCTGAACACTTTCCAAGGCACTCTCTAACTAGTGTTTCTGAACACTCTCTGAATACTCTCTTAATACTCTTTGAATCTTTCCCAGTCACTCTCTGACCACTTTCCAAGGCACTTTCTGAATACTCTCTGACCACTTTCCAAGACACTTCCCAAGACACTTTCCAAGACACTATGTGACCACTTTCCCCTATATTTCCGTTGATTTACACGGTCTCACGCCTGGGGAGAAGCACCTCTGTGGAGCCAGCACCCTCCCCAAGCACATACTCGAGTCTCCCTGCGTCCTGCCGCCCTCTTCCCCCAATCATTTCCCCATATATTCTGTGTTTATTATTTTCTTTATGGCGACGCCAAGAATCCGACTGACAAAGGCGAAGATCGTAGCTCTGTGGACTCTCAACATAATCGTGGATAAGTGCGCAATCTGCAGAAATCACATCATGGATACGTGCATAGAGTGCCAGACAGAAGAAAAGTCCGTGGAGTGCAAGCTCGCATGGGGAACGTGCAACCACGCCTTCCACGCGCACTGCATCTCCCAATGGCTAAAGTCAAAGAATATCTGCCCCCTCGACTCGAAGCCGTGGAATTTCCATCATACGCTAGACAAGTGAGTTTATTCTATCGTTCTCTGGGCGAGTCTCTGCACCTTCTTGTTGTACTCCGCGCGTCTCTGCATGAAGTCCTGGGCTGCCTCAATGTTTGCAGGGCTCTCTGAGTTCGGCTCAACGAGAAGGAGAATAATCGAGAGAAGGATCGAGTTTATATCGCGGACTGGCATCCACCGCTCGGAGGCATCCTCGTACCCGTACTCATCATCCCCGGGTTTGTGCAGGATGGAGATGCAGACGTTTCCGTCCGTGTCGATGTTTGGGTGCCATACTTCCGTTGTAAACTTGAAGGAGGGAGGATCATCGGGATACGTCTCTGGGAATGTCATGATGCCTTTGAGAAGGGCATTCTCGTATATCGTATCCCTGGGGCCTATTATAAGTATTTCCCACGTGTAAATATTGTCGTTCAGGAGGCCCACGCTGTAGTTCTCGCTTGGAGACTTGGAGATGCGCTGCAGCTCTTTTGTGATGAATATTTTGGACCGTCTTCTTGGGTCGGCTCTTTCTCCAAGCATCCGAAAATAAAAACCAGACGTATTTATTCCGCAGAGTCTCCAAACAGCGCCATGGAGACAAACACGGGAATATACACGGGAAAATACACGGGAATGCATGAAGACATGAAGACGTGTGTTATATGTAGAATCATAGTTACTCGTTGTTGGATATTCTATGTGAAAGCATAGTTACTTGTAATAAGTTGTTCGGGTTATATGTGAAAGCATAGCTACTCGTAATCAGTTGTTGAATATTCTATGTGGAATCATAGTTACTTGCAATTAGGCAGTTGTTGCGTGTTATATGTGGAATCATAGTTACTTGTTATTGCGTGTTATATGTGGAATCATAGTTACTTGTAATCAGTTGTTGTTTAGAAGCCGAATAAGGAAGGTTTCATGGAGAAGACGTGATAATAACCGTTGCTAAATTGGATATTCATTCTCCACGGAGACGAACAAGCGCATTCAGAGATGGAGATCGGAGTGAAAAAAGAACAAAGGCGTGAACTGAAAGTATCCTGTCCCACGGCACTCTGTGGGCGCAATAAACGAGAAAGTGCGTATTCCGTGTATCTTTATTCCTGCGGTCCTCTAGGGGGAGAACTGCTTAAACTTGTCTGCCTTCTCGGTCTTCTCGTAGGAAATAACCGCAAACTTCTTTGTCTTTGAAAGCGACCTGGTTTCTCCGCATACGACTTTGCTTCCTACCTCCACGAGGCCATCCCAGCACGGAGACAGGTGGACGTTGAATCGGGTGTTTCTCCTCTCGTATCTCATGTACTTTGGGTGGTAGTGAAGATACCTCTTAACTACAACGGCAGTTCTTGTTTGCTTCAAGCTCACAACTTCGCCTTTAAATATGATGCCACGCACAGTTATATCGGATGTGAACGGGCACTTTTTGTCGATGTACGTTCCATTGATGGCTGTTTGCGGGGTTTCATATCCCAGACCGATGTTCTTGTGGTGCCTTCTGGGGGCCTTATTTCCTCTGGCTATTTCGTACGGGTTGTTATATACGGTCTCCTGCTGTGGGAACTTCTTGAACTTGGAAACCTCTTCGGCTATGTTTTGCATTACGGGGGTTAAATAAAAAGTAAAATAAAAATAAAAATTCAGCGTGCAGGAGCCGCTGGGAAGAAGGCGGAGAAGCCACTTTTTCAAAAGCACCTGATACTTAAAGTATGCGTGCAGGATGCACACTCCTGCCTGCCCAGTGATTTTCGCGGTTTCTTGTGCTCGAATGTGCGCGAGTTTCACTGAGAAGTCAGGAATTCTCGCAGTACATCCTCCAGGAACGAGAGAGAAGGAACGAGAGAGGAGTAACGAGTCCGTGCCCCTGAAAATGCAGGTTCGGAGTGCTCCCAACCCTTGAAATCCGCACTTTCAGGGGGAACTGGCAAAATTCTCGCTTTCACCGCAACATCCAAACTCCAAAAAGTGCAAACTTTTCCATGCAGGGCCCTGAAAAAGTGTGCATTTTCTGCCCGATCTCTCCACCCCCGGAATTTTTCCTCTCCGCAGGGTTTTCTTATCTCCAAAACAACTTTTTCTAGAGACTTTATTTTTTTTCCTGTTTATCAAACTCGCACAAATCACTTCCCTATCGCTCCAAGCAGGGCCTGCACAAACTCCCCGCACTCCACAGCGATCGCCGAGTCTTCCTCATTGTACTCGCAGCAATTCGTGAAAATTCCCTGTATATCCGCAAGCAAAGCCTCCTTCGTCCTGTAGTAGTGATTCCTGATTCTCCTGGCAATTCTGCTCGCTGTAATGGGCCTGGCAATGAGCTCGTAGTAGTCCGGATACTCTGCCCGTGGGACGTCCCTGTAGAAAACCAGGTACTCCTCCTTGTACTGCATCAGCGCATCGATATACTCTGTCAGATCTAAGGAGTAGTCCGTAACGGAAAAGTGCAAGTCGTAAATATTCACAGAGACTTCTCTATCTCCCGTCCTAAGAGTGAGCACATCCCCAGACTTTCCAACGACACTTCCCCTGCACAAACCCCCGTCTGCGTAGTAGTATATCTCGTCGTTCTTCCTGTACCGCTTCCTCTGGAACTCCAGCACCTGCTCCTGTATCCGAAAAGGGTTCTCGCTGAAGTTCTCCGCATCCAGCACAAACTTCTTCTTCTCCCGGGTCCTCTCCACCGCGAAGAAAACAGCAACTGAACTCTTCCCGTACTCCACGCTCTCCACCAAAACCTCCTCCAGGCCCTTCTCCTTCAGGCCCTTTCCCTCCCTCACGAGGAAAAGTCTATCCCCCACCTGCGGAAGTACTTGCGGACTGGGCTTATCGCTCATGTACCAATTGTAGAGCAAATCCGCGCTCAAACACGCAGCCTTCCTTGCTGCCTGCCTCCTCCCTCGCTTCTTGCTCAGGATCTGCGGACTCTGTTCAGGCTCAAATTCCGTGTTTCCCCTCCCAGTCCTCCTTTCGTCACTTTCACTCGCAAACTCTGCACTTCCACTGCTAATTTCAACTGCACTTTCCGAGTCTCCGCTCTCCGAGTCTTTTTCCTCCGAATTTTCCAAACTCTCCTCTGCAGAGTCGTCCGTGTGTGCGTAATTGTCGGAGTCTTCGACCATCCAATTCGAGGAACTTGACGAGCTATTCTCGTTCTCCTCGGACGCCTCCTCTGCGGACTCCTGCACGATAACTGCCTGACTGGGCTTCCTGTAGTCCCTCTCAAAGACTTTGCTCGTTATCATCTCAGACTGCAGCTGCAGAAGTCCTGCGACCTCCACATTCCGGATCCACTTATCTACGCCCTGCACGTACCTGGGGATTCTGTCGGTTGACTCTGCAGGCGGAAGACCCTCCCCACTCGAGGAAAAAGTGCGGAAATTCTCTGAATTCCTGCAGACTTTCATCGCTTGCTCGAGCATGTGGATTCTCTCCTCGTACACCCGCGCTGTATTCTCCTCTACAGGGCCCTGAGTCTCGGAGAGTATTTTCAGCTGCTCCGTGTTATAGTCGCAGTAGTGCTGGAAGTCCTGCAGGGCGTACTCCGTCTCCGGGACTTCGACTTCATCTGGGATTACGCTGTACTTGTGCACGTACCCGTCCAGGTCTGCAATGTAGAAAAAGCTTCCCGTGGACTCTATTACTATAGTGCCTGCAACGGAAACATCCGTGTGAATTTTATTCAGGATCTCCCCGGTGCTTCCCACGACCTTTATAACGCCATTTACTTCGACCGTTAGGAAAATATTTTTTGTCGGGTGCGGGACTATTCCTGTGATCTTGTACTCTCTCTCCACCATCTTCACGGCCTTACTCTCCGTGTTTATGATGCGAATATTCGACTCTGTATCCACAGCCACGATTGTCACGTCGTCAATCAGGTATATGAGGTCTGTATTGTATATAGTTTCCCCCATTCCTTCGAGGTCTATCGTGCTGCGAGTCCAGCACCCCTCGAGGTCTCTCCCCTTGAAGCGCTTCCTCGTCTGGATGTTTGACTTTGTGGGCCTGCTGTTGATCCTGTACTCCCACGTGATGAGAGTTGACGAGTACGTGCTCACTGTGAACTTCATTGAATTATGCGCGATATCAACGGACGAAGAAAGAAGGTCGTCCGTGTCCAAAACGTAGAATCTGTTCTCTGCATCGTTTGCATCGAGGAGTATCGAGAAGGGCCACATCCCCGTGACTATCACCATCTTCCTCCCCTTCGTAGTGACTGCTCCGTTGAAGGTCTCCTCCTCCACCTCCCCCAAAACAGTTTCAACCGTTATTTTCTGTGCGAGACTTACCCTGAGTATCCGGCCAGAGTTCGTCACTACGATCGCCTGCACGCGAACTCCCCCGGCCTCAGGAGGGGATTTTGCCCGTTTTTGCTCCAACGGCTCAGCCTCTGCCTGGTTGTATAGGACGTCCAAATAGTCTATCTGCTCCCCTATGCTGACAGTGTCGATTTGCGCGTACGTCTGCAGATCCCAGCATATAATTCGCCCGGACTGGTCGCAGGAGATGAAGTATTTGTTGCTGAAGTCAACAGCAAAGTCAAAAATAGGGTGCCTGTGCCCGGAGAGAGACTGTACAGCTCGCCCGCTGTATACATCCCATATCTTCACAAGGCCGTCTTCTCCCCCTGTGAAGACGAAGGTCTCGCTCCTGTCGAACATCATGCACAGAACCTTCGAAAAGTGCCCTTTTGCCTTGAAGATGCGAGAGTATTTCGTGCTCACGGGGCTGGAGATGTGGGCAAACTGCTCCTTCAGAAAGAGCGAGGACACGGGAAGAGTCCCTGCATCCTCCAGCCTCCGGTACTTCCGAAAGTACTCTATGACGTTGTTTACGCCTGCATTTTTTAAAAGCTCTGTAAATCCCTCAACAACTGTTTCGTCCCGTATGCTGTCCAGGGATAGCGCATTTACGTCTTGAATGCCCTCTTTTATTTTTATAAGCAGTTCCCTGTACGCACGATCCATGAAAATAATTTACAAATTAATAATTATTTCTGCAGTTGTGCAAGCCTTCTCTGTATAAAGATTCGGGTATATTTATGCAGTTAAGCTGTAATACGGGAAATATTCACGAGAGATTGCATACTTTATTCTTTTTGGTTTTCTTAAATACGTGACATCCCCGCATCTCCTGGTCTCCACTTCTGAGTGCGTTTATTCGTTTCCGTGGAGAATGAGTGCCCGATCACGAGATGTACCTGCTCTCCTTTTCAGGCCTCCAGATACTTCTGTCTCCGGACCTTCTGCAGAAAGAAAAGTCTCCGAAAGATTTCTGCAGGGTTTTATTTCCGCAGGAAGAGAAATCCTCCCTGCCAAACAAGTGCATCTGTTCTATGTAGAAGCTGGTGCTTGATTTGGGGAGACGGGCAGATCAAGGGACTGCCCAACCTAGGAATCAGGATAGACTGAATAGTGCATAAGCAGCCGAGTGCTGAAAGCAGTTGCTCATACTCAGTTATCTATAAGCCCAATAAGGAAGGTTTCCTGAAAAAGACCTGATAACCTGAATTGGATATTAATGTTGTATGCTGAAAGCAATTTCTTGTAATTCGTTATTTCTTATTCGGGTTAACTAAGGAGTCAGTATAAATTAGACTTTAGGAGACAAATTAAATTTATGTCTATTTAAGCAGTAGAAAAACAATAAAGACCGTGAATTTCTCTATAAATTCCAGTATTACAACTACTAATTCTCCACGGAGACGAACAAACGCCCTCAGAAGCGGAGAACATAAAGTGCATAATAAGACCAAAAAGAACAAAGTCTGCCATTTCCTGTGACTACTTCCCGTATTACACGCGCATTTATTGCAGCGAGGGGAAAGCACGTTCTTCCTGCGTGAATAATAGCGGAAGTGTGCTGTCTTCTGCGCTATATCTTGAGCGTCCTCTCCATCTGCTCAGCCACGTCCTCCTCTTCGTCACTTTCGAGCTCCTCCTCCCGGGCGTTGTAGTCGTACTCCATTGCCTCGTCGTCATCTATGAATATCTTCGGGTTATACACAAACAAGTCCTTCCCTGAGGGGAGGATCTTTCCCAGCCTGAGGTTCCCCTCTCGGATCTTGTCCTCCTCCTGCTTCATGTCCACCTTCGCCTTTTCTCTATTTGCCTTCCACTCCATGTACTTTTCCTCCGTCATTTTTGTCATTGTCTCGCAGGGGATACTCGCCCGCTTTTCCTCGAGAAGCTCCTCCTGCGTGATTGCGTCGATCTCCTCTGCCTCCTCCTTCAGGATGTACCCTTCAGGGGGCGAGTGCTTCCCAGCGCAAGCATTTCCGTTTGGGCACGTCCACTTCGGGTTGTACTTCCCTGTTTTCAGCGCGTCTATATAGTGCTTGCACACGGGCTTCTCCACCGCATCTGCAGGCTTCTCTTTTTTTGCCGTTTGCGGGCCTGAAACCTGAGAAACTGCGGGTTTCTTCGTCAGGTCGTGGCTGAACTTGCACGCATCCCCCTTTGAGCACGCTTTATTCGCCTTGAAGTTGATGCACAGAATCGTCGACGGATCAGCCCCCACAGGGACCTTCTGCAGGACCTCGTACGCCTCGTAAACAGGCGCTTCCTCCTTCTTCTCCGCCTTCTGGGGCTTCCCCTTGAGGTAGGAAGCCTCCAGTGAGGACGCAAGCTTTTTTAGCTTTGCACTTTTCCCCTTGTTTTTCATTCCGAACATCTGGTCCTCGACCAACTTCTTGGCCTCCTTCGGCTTGATTTGCTCCTTTCCCTTCTCCTTCTTCGCCATGCAAAAATATATTTGCACGTATAAATATTCGCAATTTTCAGCAAACAATGTGGCCGTGGAAGACGAAGGAGGAGTTCGTGGAGTTTGAAAAAGCAAGTTTGGTCGCAACAGATTTCATTCCGCTTGCGTACATAACAGACTCTGAGAAGCGGAAGGTAGAAATTGCAGGGACTAACACGATGAAACACGGGATCTTCGTGGTTTCCCCGGAGAAGGGCAAGTACGAGGTCTCCGACAGGATAGAAACGAGCTTTCAGGTGGACTACCTCGGGGCAATAGATCTCCTGAAGGACGGACGAAGGGAGTACGTTGTATTTACGAAGACCCCCTCAGGGTTCGACATAAACATCGCAAGTATCTCCGGAAAGAGCCGGTTTATAGGAGAGTCCGAGTGCATGCCCTTCCTGGTGTCGCACGAGGGACTAAATCCCGTCTTGTTCACGCAAAATAGTGGAAACACGTACTTCATAGATCTCGTGAAGGAGAAGACAGAAGCATCCAGCACGAACTTTGGGATCCTGCGGGAGAATCACAGCTCCGGATTTGTCGACGTCTCCGGGGATGGGATTCCGGAAATTGTCTTGGACACTTTGCAGGAGGAGGGGCGCGTGATTGAGGTCTGGAAGAGGGACGAAAAGGAGGAGTACGCCCTTGTAAACACAGTTGGAATCCCCGTGGAGGCAGGACCTTTTGTCTTTGGGGACTTCACAGGCTCTGGCTCCGTTGATATTCTCTTCCTCTCGAACGATCCCCCTGCGATTAACGTAGTCCCGAATAGGAGACTCCCGTATTGCACGCACTCCATCCGGGGGAACTGCCTGCATAAGAAGAATATGATGGAAGAGACGTCTCCGTACGGATACGCAGAGAATAGCACGATCTCATACCCTGTTCATTCCGTCTCTGAGTTCATCCTGTCGAATGAGAGCGGGCCCGTATTCCCGAGTGTCTTGGACATAAACAGTAATACGTACCCGGACGTATTGGCAGTTGCGAAGGAGGAGGACGATGACTCTCCGCAGCCTAGACTCTTCCTCAACACGAACGGGGATGGTTTTGTGCCTGAAAGTGTATTCTCTGAGATTTCAGGTAGCATAAACAGGGTCTCCTTCTACAGGCAGGATAAGGGCGTGTGGAACGTACTGGCTTCGTGTGAGGAAAATGCAACGTCCAGTCTCTACATGTACCCGAATGTTTCGGATATCTCTGGGTACTACATAAGCATAATGACGAAGATGCAGAGGGAGAGTACAGTTTCTCCGATTGTGGGGGCGTGCCATGCGTGCAGGATAACGGAGACTGGGCGAGTTGTCGTTGGATTCCACCCGGCGCAGAGCGGATATGCCTCCCTGCAGTCTCCGATCGTGAATCTTGGGCTGGGGAGCACTAACGTCTTTATAGGGTCTTTGCAGTCGAGAGTTCCCTGCAGGAGCTACTCCGTTGGAAAAACATTCGATAAAATCGTGCCGAATTCTGAGCTTTTGATCGAGATATCCGGGAACAAGCCTATAGAGCACTCCCTGTATCTAAATACGAGTGCGTACTGGCCTGTTGCAATTCCCATTATGCTCACGATTCTCTTCGTCCTCGGGATTACGAGTGCGTACTTCTCCGTGAAGGCGAGAAAAGTCTCAAAGCATGCGGTTCAGAGGACCCGGTACAATGCCCCCTTTGGGGCGCTGTAACCCCACGAAATAAACGTGTTTCCATCCTGTAGATTCTCTCTTTTTATGCGAAAGCATTGTTACCTGAAAATAACGGACAATCTGAAAATATCTGAAAAATCTATCGGACTTTTCTATCAGGAAGCATAGATTCTCCCAAATAGGATATTGTTTTGGCAGCTCATGCAATGATAAAGTAAATGCACAGGTGTTTAAGAAAACCGAGAAATAATAAAGACCGTTAATTTCTCTATGAATTCTCGTATTGTTGTATGCTGCATAGTTTCTCGTGATTGGTAAATGCTGTAGAATCGATAGAGAAGGCTTCACAGAGAATGCATGAGCCGCCCAAATAGGATATTCCCAGGGGACAATGACAAAGTAAATGCACAGGTGTTTAAGAAAACCGAGAAATAATAAAGACCGTTAATTTCTCTATGAATTCCCGTGTTCCAGTTCTGCTCTTTCTCTCCCTGCACTTTATCTGACTTTTAACTGAACTTTAACTGAATTTTATCTGAATTTTATATGCACTTTAACTGGACTTTATCTGAACTTTACCTGAACTTTAACGTACAAACCTGATATACCCTCTAAAGAAGAAATCGACAGAGCATCTACAGCGACATTTATTATCTGGCCTTCTCCAGCAGGGAAAGCACGCTGTACGCCTCCTCTGCGTAGTCCATCCGCCTCAAAGAAGACGCGCTGTACCGCATGCAGGGCTCTCCGTTGTACGTTGACTCTTTCCCGCGAATATTCAGGACGAAGTCACTCCCCACGGGCTCTCCCAGGGCCTCCATGTACCTATCCGCATCCTCAATCGAGAGGTCGTACATTTCCTGTGCGCTCCTCCCCTGGAAGAGGCAGGATGCAGACTCGTTGAAAAGCGAGACCCACATCGACGAAGACCCGTCAATAACCGATGCATTTGCGCTGTAGTTATACGAGCACTTCTCGTACGAGATTCCGCACTTACTGCAGAAGTACATATCCGGGGCCACTGGATCGTAGTCCACCTTCTTATTACATCCCTCCGACGGGCAGGACTTATACAGGACGCTCTTCTCTGGGACAAAGAGCAGCGTAACTGCAACTGTCGCATATTCCAGGGCCTCACTCTTGACCTCCTCCAGCGCAACTACTTTCTGTCCTCCGCCCGTGGACTTTCTCGGGGCTTTCTCCATCGAGTCTGCGTTTCTGGAGTACCATCCGCGAAGTCTAAATACTTCTGGGACTTCCGGGTTGAAAGAAATGACTCCGTCTCTGGCGAGGCCTATCTGCGGCATTCCCAAGTACTCCGTTACTCGGACATTCTCCAGGAGCAAAACATCTCCCACCATGAAGTTCAGGTCGCAGACGTCCTCCCACAGGATAAAGGGCACGCACTTCCCGGACTCGTCTCCGACTGAAAGTGTTCTCTTCTTCATCTGCACCTGGTCCTTCCTCCGGGTGATTGTGGAGACTTCTCCTGTCTCCGTGACTACGACGAGGAGAGAGACCGTTTCGTGCACCTGATTTGGGAGCTTTGCGACCTTAGAGAGCGTGCTCGGGATCTTCACGGGCTGCTTCGTCTCTGGGATTGGGGTCACTGCGAAAGACCTGTCTGCAAGTATCTCGTAGTCGTGGACGTCCTCATTGTACTTCTTATTCGCGAGCTTCAGGACTCCCCCCGTGATCTCGTAGCTTTTGTACAGCTCGATCTTATCGACGAACTGGCTCACGTACTCCGTGAAGAACGTTATGTTGCACTTATCCGTCCCGTCTGAAACGATCACGTTGAAGACCTTCCCGGGGCGCCCGTCTTTCGTGTACGTCCTCGTTGGGGACTTGCTCACGACCTTCGCGGAAATTCTCCAGTGCATGCTCTGGAAGGGGTTCAGCTCCTTTATCGTGGTCGCCTCTTTTTTCGTGTCTTTCCTGGGGGTTTCTGGATCGATCCTTCTTTTGCTGGGGCTTGCTCCAATGCTTCCCCACGCACTCTCCTTCCCCGGCCTGTGCATCGCCAGTATCTCCTTTATGTATATGATGGCCTTGGAGGAGTACGTTCCCAGCGTCATCTCCCCTACTTTTATGATGTCCCCCACGGAGATCCTGTTTGTGCTGACATCGTCCGCATACTTTGAAGAAAGCAGGCACTCCTGGACGGTGTTTGTGTCCGTTACGATCAGGCGTATCTTGCTCTGAAGGACGGAGTGATCTGGGGCTATTATTGAGTCTATCCTCACTGTAATGGGGACTTTTTTCTCGTTTTTGCTTGAAGTTTTGAACGCTCTGCTTATGCATCCAGGGTCAACCTCCAGCTCGGGCTCTCTTATTGTCATGTTCTAAAAATTTAAACACAATAAAAGCTAAAAAATGGAAATGCACGGGCTTATAAAGAACCCAGAGGAAAGAAGTTTGCGGGAAAATGCGTTCTCCATTGGGGACAGAGTCGTTGTAGATAGGGTTTACACGGGCGTAGTGAAGTACATAGGCCGCGTGGGAACGAAAAAAAGCGAGTCTCTGGGGGTAGAGCTGGACAGCTCTGTTGGCGAGCACAACGGAACGCGTGCAGGGAGGTTCTACTTCCAGTGCAAGGCCAGACACGGAGTCTTCAGAGACCCGAAAGACGTGCGAAAGTATCGGCCCCTGGAGTACAACCAAACAGGCCTGATAAATACGACGGAAATTGAGGAAGTCTCGAACGGGAGGGCAGTCTCGGAGCTGCTGCACGAGAATGTGGAGATCCAGAGGCGACTTGAGGAGCTCACGAAGGAGAACAGCCGATTGCGGGAGGAGCTTCAGAAGGAGCGAGAAAGGATCAAGGCCTTGGAGAGTGCGGGGGCACAGGAGAAGGAGAATGCGGCGGAGTGCAAAGGGTACAACGACGGAGCATTTGGGATACTTTCTGAAATAATCCGGAAGATAAAGGAGAAAATAGAGACGGAGAATGCAATATTCAACGAGAGCAAAATGTAAAGTGCATAAATAAAGTGTGCGGCAGAATTTATTCGGGTGCAGTTCGGGCGTGGGCCAGAATTTTCTCTACTCTTTCAGTCACTTCTTTTATGTGTGCGTGCGTTCCCCGGAGGGTCAGAGAGATGCACTCTTTGGAGACGTCTTTTTGCACTATGCTGTGCTGCACTATGACTTCCCGGAGGTGCTCTGCGTACTCTTTCCGGAGCACTAGCTCGTTCGTGTACACTTTTATGTCCATGCAGGAAAAAATGCAGGGGAAATGCAGAAAAAATGCCGTACTGCTCTGGGGGAGGGTCTGTGCGTGCAGGAGTCGCGGGGAGTGCATCTGCGCACGTTGCATGGGTGCATGCTGACTCCCGTGACTTGGGCTGAGTTTGAGCGTGGTCCTGTACAGGAGTATTTGGGCTATTTCCCGGGGCGGCACTCGGGGAAAATGCACTGTTTTTGCAGTATAGTTTCCCTGTGCAGTTTTGGGGCGTGATATTTCTCCGAGTTTTTGGCGCTTCCCGGGGGCATACATATCAGAGTCCGCGAATATTTTTATGAAGATCCAAAATTCAAAAGAAAGCACTCCAGTATTTCTTCTAAAATGCGGGCTCTTTTTTATGCTGCAAATAGCATGTATACGTGGGATGGAGAGAAATGAGGAGCTAAAAGAGTTCGCTCAAACGCACTCTCTTCGCATTAAATCCCCCGAGGGCGCGAGCACCCGCACTTTTCTGCCTCCACGGGAGAGCTCCGAAAGGGCGGACTACAGCCCAGAGTACGCTCCGGAGAATCCACTCCACTACCTGCGCTGCGAGACTGACCATTACATCGATCTCTCTCCGCTGGACTTTCCCAAGGGCAAGCAGGAGTTCTACATGCTGAGTCCTGTCCCGCGCGTGCAAACGTACATGAACAGGGAGTACTACAGGATAGACTTCTCCAAGATCAAGACGGACGACACGTCCAGCTCGCAGAAATTCTTTGAGTGTATGCACAGCCTCCTGGACTGCGCGTATGTGAAGCTTCCGCTGTACTTTGCCTGCATCACAAACCTCCCGGGGAGTCTCCAGAAAGAGGATATTCCTGCAGTCTTCACGTACTGCGAGAACTTGCACAAGAAAGAGCGTGTGTATGTGCGCCCAAGTATATGCTGCGTATTGGTGAACCCAGAGTCTCCATATCCGCTTTTCGTCCGGTCTTTGTGCAGGTTTCTGGTGCTGAACTACAATAACGTGCAGATCCTCGTGCAGCCGTGCAAAAAGTGTGCGAATGTGAACGCCTACACATGCACGTGCTTTGACGTTTTCTACGTGCTTGACTTCTGGCTGTGGAAGATGCAGGCTCACTCCGGGTTCTTCAGCAGGCAGCAGGGATGGTTTCTCCCGTACAGGGTGGGCATTCTCTTGGACTGTCCTGGGGTCCTATACCTGCGCGAGAAAGTGCATCTGCAAACACTCCGGGAGCTTCTTACGATTGAAAAGACGTATGTTTCCGTGCGTCTGGTCGTGAATACGCTGAAAATCCACTATACTCTCCTCCGAGAATTTATGTTTTTCATGGAGGCATACACGCAGAACGTATGCAAGACTTCTCTCTCCGTTGAAGTGCAAAATATCCAGGTCATTTTCCCAGGGCGCCCAGAAGGTCTTACAGCGGAAGAACTTAGCAAGCACGTATCCCAGGAGGTTTCAGCCTTGGAAAGTCTTACGCTGGTCTCAGATACTCTGCTCTCCCTGCGGTGCATGGAGTTCAACACGTACAAAAGCATCAAGTTGTGCTTCCGGAATGTGAAGGACATTCTGCCAACGCATGTTCTGCCTGTCCTAAACCTGACAAATCTAACGATAAGCACGCACGACCCGAAGTCAACTCCAGAAATTTCGTTTGTTCTTTTCTCTTTCCCGTTCCCGTACACGCCGAAGGGGGGAAAGTACGACCCAGACGCCCTCAAGGCGATGCACTCCCTCCAGCAGGGGATACTCTCCGCTAAAAGCCCAGACGCAAAGAAGCTCCGAGAGAAAAGACACTTCCCTTGCTCCCCGCACCTATACCACTCAAAAGACGTTATTTCTCTGTTTTTGTTCACGTTCCTGCAGACGATGAAAGGCCAAGACGCAGAGACAGCAAAACGAAGGAATGCGGTGTTCGAGACAAACCCCACGCACTTTCTGAAAAATAACTCTGCCACTTTGCTGGCCTCGTTTATCATTCAGTCAGAGACTCCCACCACGACCCCAACAGAGACATACGCAGTTCTGTACAACTTTAAAAGCAAACAGCTTGAGTTCTTTACTAAAGCCATAAGCTGCAATGAATCAGGGATTTGGCGGTCGTGCCTGGGCGAAATGCGGCCTATTGTGAGGATGGTCGTATATGTGGACTGCCCCTACATGCGGGAATAGTATAGCAATATTATACGCCTTCGCTATAAATCCGCATCTGGACTTGCAAAAGCCCACACTCTAAGCGGCTGCTGCGCATGTTTTTGAATAAATTTGCAAATGCGTGAAAAAAAGCATGCACTACGTACTCTTTTTTTGCTTTGTAGTTAGGGCGCTGGAGGTTCTGCATATTTGATTGAGGCACTGGTACAAATGCGGGGGAGTGCTTTCAGTGATGAGATTCATCAGGAAAAACCTGTCTTCAATGACTGCCCTGGTTTCGTAGTCTAAAATGTCTTTGGGCATAAACCCCTCCCACTCCCTTCGCCTTGTTCGGCACGTAAGAGGGGCCTGCACAGTTGCTGAGGCAGTCCTCTGCTGAGTGCTTTCCTTTTCCGTGGATTCTTTCGGCGTGGGAAAAATCAAGTCCAGAAGCTTCCTGCGCTTCTCGGGTTTATCCTCCCCAAAGACCCACACTCCGCACTCGCTGTCTCTTGCAAGAGTGTGCGAAAAGACTTCAGTTCTTCCTCTGTGGCACAATATAGCGCAAACTGGCTTCTTTCTCTGGGATTTTTGGTCGATGGGGCCTGCTACTATTTTCGCTGCAACGGAGGACTTTCCTTCCTCCTTTTCCTTCTGCGCCTTTCCAACGCACAAAAACCAGCTGCTGCTCTTTCTCAGGGGCTTCAGCGTGTATGTGCGCTGCGGGGAGGTCTTGCCCATTCGGTGCAGCGTCGTTTGATTCGCATTGAAGCCTTCAAACACCAAAACAGCCAGGCCTCCACTCTCGTCTGTCTCTTCCAAGGCCTGCCTTGCCTTCTCTGCAGTTATAATAACGTGTCGGGATTTTGCGAGATGCGGGCCTTCTTGCTTCTCTATGTGCATGCACGGGCCTGCTGTTTTCTGCTTAATTTGCGCCATAAAAGCCCCAATTGAGAATGTGCCTTTTCTGCCTTTTTCCCCCGTGCTCTCGGGGGTTGTGCTTGCTCTCTTCAACATGAAAAGTGCGATAAACAGCTCTTTCCAGTCGATTTTCATTTGCAAAAATATATTCTTATCTGCATTTATGCGTGCAATTCCTGGCTGTACAGAGCAAGACCGTGCGAAATATGGTGTCTTGTGCGGGTTTTTATCTGGGCTCAGTCTCTGCACTGCCACAAGCACGGATAACTCTGAATTTGGGCATGGTTTTAAAAGTGTCCGAAACTTGGCGTGTACACATAATATCATGTGCCCTGCGCCTGTGCTGAGTCACACCTCTTCTTGCCGCTTCCATGCATGCACTCCCTCAAGAAGCGAAAAAATTCACTCTCTTTTCTTGCACGGACAAATAAAAGGTGTTCTTTTTTCTCTTTCTGTACACTTTTCTGTGCCTGCTGTGAACTCATCCGCAGGAAGCCCGAGGGAGTGAGAATGCCCAGATGCACCATAGAAGCATAACCTGCTGCTTGCCTGCCCCGTGATATTCCTGCTTTTTCTTGAAGTTTTGGCGTGGCACAACAGGAAGGCTGCGCTTGCTAAGGCATATTTATGCAGGATGAAGTTTCAGCAGGTGCCATATGCAGGACTGCTTTCTATACATGGCGAAACCACATAAGAGTCTATTATTCGTTTATTCTTCAGACTTCTGGCTAACAAGATTCAACTGAAAGGCTGAGCAAGCACTTTCTGAGGCTGCGAGCGTCTGCTTTCCAGTGCAGCTGCATGATCTAGTCTGTACACACTCAGAGAGTGCGCTATTAGCCCACATAAAGCCTGCTCTGCTCGACGAGTTTTCGACCCAAAAACAAGATGCTGTGCGAAAAGTTGGAGCCAATGCCCGTGCTCTGCTCTTCCACTGCATTACTCGTGAATTGGTCCTCGCCATTCGTGACGTAGATCTTAATCTCCAGAAGTGCCTGGCCGGGTTTGTAGTCGACGCTTATTTTAGAGTCTAAAAGCAGATTCTTGACATCAAAGTAGGAGGGTGTGATCGAGTAATTGTGTATGTTTTCCACCTTTTTTTTCAGGTGCTCTTCTATATAAGGATTCAGGAGCTTCCGAGTAGTGCACACGGAGTATTGCCTCTCTAGAACATTCCCGGGTCTCTGCCTGAACACTGTGATCTTCCAAACCAGGTTTGGTCTCTTCGATCTACCGACTGTGATCATGTTTGGGTTAGCGGTTATTTTCGTCATTTTAGACAGTAGCAAAAGTATGTTGGCGTATGTTTGTACGTTCTTAAGGTGTATCTGCATGGAAATTCTGTTGTCTGTGGGAGGCCCCACGACCTTGTATATGCCGCTCAAGTTAAACGTGCTTATG